CAAAGCTGGTGTGACAGAGGCACCCTGCTCAGCCCCCAACCAGCTCCTTTGTGACTCCTTGGGTCTACCATGGGGCATAGCCTCTCCTTCACCCTCACCCTCATCAGCCCCAGCACAGCGGGCCTCACCCAGCAGACAGGACGTGGCAAATGGGCCACAGACCCCACGGCAGCTCCGGCACAACCCCAAACACATCCTGAGCAAATACGTGTCACGTAGGGAGGAGCAGCCGGCCGCCAGGGCACTCACAGGCTTCTCCACCGGGACTCTGTTGTAGTAGCGGATGGAGTCCTTCCCCAGGAAATCAAATTCCACCACGTGCTGGCAGCCGTCAGCCTCCGGATGCAGCAGGACGTGCTCCACGCGGAGGGAACAGCAGCCTACGGTGTCGGCCGCCGCACCGTCCTCCTTCTCATTTCCCGCTCTCAGCGCCAGCTATTGGGTGGGGAATAAAGTGGGTGGTGCATGCACATGCACGCCACACACAGGCACGCCACAGATGCACGCCACACACATGCACGCCACACACAGGGACGCCACACACAGGCACGCCACAGATGCACGCCACACACATGCACAGTACACACATGCACAGTACACACATGCACACCACACACGCACGCCACACACGCACGCCACACGCACGCCACACACACGCACGCCACACACACGCACAGTACACACGTACACGCACACTGCACACACAGTATGATAATATGACACCACACTACCCACACGTGATGCCAGCACACACACGTACACGCCACACACACGCACAGGTACACACACATTGACGCTGCACACACGATGTCATAATAATATTAGTACATGCATGTCACCAAGGCCAATACTATTACCACATCAAAGATACCAAACACGACACACACACGCACGCCACACACACGCACACACATGAGCCACACACATGCACACAGTACACACATGCATGCACGTGCACACGCACGCCAGCACACACGCACAGTACACACACGCACGCCACACACAGCACACACATGCACACCACACATGCACACCGCACACACGACGCCACACACACGCCACACACGCACGCCACACACACGCTGAGCACACACACAGGCAATAATAGATGACACACCACACACACATGTCACCACACACAAAATACCACACACGTACGCCATACACATGTAAATGCTAAAATACATGCACTTTTTCATATGACACGCCAAGCACACAGTACACACACGCACACCACACACACAGAACACACTCACGCACACCACATGCCATAGTATACTGCCACACGCACGTCACATGACGCCACAACGCACAGTACCACACACAGGCACACCACACACACACACACCACACACACGCACGCCACACACAGGCACACCACACACACGCACAGTACACACACGCACACCACACACACGCACACCACACACACGCACACCACACACACGCACAGCACACACACGCACACCACACACACGCACACCACACACACGCACACCACACACACGTACACCACACACATGCACACCACACACATGCACACCACACACGCACACCACACACACGCACACCACACACACGCACACCACACACACGCACGCCACACACACGCACACCACACACACGCACACCACACACATGCACAGTACACACATGCACACCACACACAGGCACACCACACACATGCACGCCACACGCACACCACACACAGGTGCACACCACACACAGGCACAGTACACACAGGCACAGTACACACAGGCACACCACACACATGCACACCACACACATGCACACCACACACACTACACACACACACACACCACACACGCACACAACACACACGCACACCACACACACACACCACACACGTGCACAGTACACATGCACACCACAATATTGACACTACACATACGACACCACACACACCACACACACGCACAGTACACACATGCACACCACACACGCACACCACACACACACACACCACACACACACACCACACACACGCACACCACACACGCACGCCACACATGCATCGCCACACACAGGCATCGCCAATAACAGGCACGCCAATGCGCACACCATCAACTTTCCACACACACACACGCACACCAATACCATACTCACACACGCATACCACACGCATACTCACACACGGACAGTACACACACGGCACACCACACACAGGCACACCACACACACACACACCACACACACGCACGCCAGCCAGGCATCGCCACACACAGGCATCGCCTGGCCATGCACGCCACGCACACCACACACGCACACCAAGGCCACACGCACACCACACGCACACCACACACACGCACACCACACACGCACACCACACACACGCACAGTACACACAGGCACACCACACACAGGCACACCACACACATGCACACCACACACAGGTACAGTAATAGACACGCACACTACACACACGCACGCCACACACACGCACACCACACACAGGCACACCACACACGCACGCCACACACAGGCACGCCACACACAGGCACGCCACACACAGGCACGCCACACACATGCACAGTACACACAGGCACAGTACACAGGCACACCACACACAGGTACACCCTCTACACCGCACACCACACAGGCACACCACACAGGCACACCACACACAAGACACCACACACATGCACAGTACACACACGCATTGTTCACACACAGGTGCACACCACACACAGGCACACAGTACACACAGGCACACCACACACACGCACACCACACACGCACAGGCACAGGCACACCACACAGGCACACCACACACACGCACACCACACACACGCACACCACACACACGCACACCACACATGCACGCCACACACAGGCACGCCACACACATGCACGCCACACACACGCACCCCACACACGCACACCACACACACGCACACCACACACGCACACCACACACACGCACACCACACACACGCACAGTACACACACGCACACCACACACGCACACCACACACACGCACACCACACACACGCACACCACACACACGCACAGTACACATAGGCACACCACACACACGCACACCACACACAGGCACACCACACACAGGCACAGTACACACACGCACACCACACACCGGCACACCACACACAGGCACACCACACACGCACACCACACACATGCACACCACACACATGCATCACTGGCACACAGGCACACACCCAAGCACCACAGGCACGCCACACACAGGAACACCACACACACGCACACCACACACATGCACAGTACACACATGCACACCACACACAGGCACACTACACATGCACGCCACACACAGGCACGCTACACAGGGACAGTACACACAGGCACACCACACACAGGCACAGTACACACGACACCACACACACGCACACCCATACAGGCACACATACACGCACACCCACACATGCACACCACACACAGGCAAGCCACACAGGCACGCCACAGCATACTACACGCACGCCGCACACACACACACACCACACACATGCACAGTACACACATGCACACCACACACAGGCACAGTACACACACACAGGCACACCACACACACGCACAACACACACACGCACACCACACACACACGCACACCACACACACGCACAGGCACAGCAGGCATGTACCACACACATGCACACCACACACGCACACCACACATGCACGCACACCACACACACGCACACCAGCACACGCACGCCACACACACGCACACCACACACACGCACGCCACACACACACACGCCACACACAGGCACGCCACACGCACACCACACACACACCACACACACGCACAGTACACACGCACAGTACATACATGCACACACACACGCAGTCAAAGGCAGGCACACCACACGCACACCACACACGCACACCACACACACGCACAGTACACACAGGCACACCACACACATGCACACCACACACAGGCACACACCACACAGGCACAGTACACACGCACACCACAAATGACACCACACACATGCACACACCACACACATGCACAGTACACACACGCACACCAGCACACACGACACCTACACACATGCACACCACACATGCACACCATACACAGGCACACTTACACACAGGCAGAATACACACAGGCACGCCACACACAAGCACACCACACACATGTGGCCAGCACACACAGGCACACCACACACATGCACACCACACACATGCACACCACACACAGGCACACCACACACAAGCACAGTACACACAGGAACACCACACACGCACACCCACACACATACTCAGTACACACACGCACAACACCACACACACCACACACGCACGCCACACATGCACACCACACACAGGCACACCACACAGGCACACCACACACAAGCATAAGTCATACATGCACAGTACACACACGCACACCACACACACCATAGTAATACAGTGGTTAAGTACACACGCACAACAGCAACATGCATGGGTACCACACACATGCACACCATACACATGTAATAGCACACACACGCACACCACACACAGGTGCACACCACACACAGGCACAGTACACACAGGCACACCACACACGCACACCACACACGTGCACACCACACACAGGCACACCACACACATGCACACCACACACATGCACACGACACACAGGCACAGTACACACATGCACACCACACACAGGTGCACGCCACACATGCACGCCACACACATGCACACCACACACACACACACACCACACACACACGCACACCACACACACCACACACACGCACACCACACACACCACACACACACGCACACCACACACGCACACCACACATACAGGCGCACACTACACATGTACACCAGCATAGCACACTACACATGCACAGTACACACGCACACACTACACACATGCACAATTACACAGATGCACTGACACACAGGTGCACACCTGTTGGCCACAGGTGCACGCACCACACACAGGCACGCCACACACATGCACAGTACACACGCACACCACACACATGCACACCACACACAGGCACGCCACACACATGCACACCACACACACGCACACCACACACATGCACAGTACACACGCACACCACACACGTGCACACCACATACAGGCATGCCACACACAGGTGCACACCACACAGACACGCCACACACACATGCACACACACCACACAATGCACATGCACACCCTACACACATTCACACCAACACACACGTGCACAGGCACACACACCTCCATCAGACTGCGGTTCCACCCCACACACAGGCCCACATCGCCACACTGTGCCATCTAACTGGGTGTCCTCGCCAGGAGAGCCAGGATGAGGAGCCCCAGGAGGCGAGAAGGCCGCGTACCTTATCGATGAAATACAGGGCCACCGCCCGCTGTCTCGTCTTCATTTCCTGAGACTTCCAATCAGCCCGGTACTGGGAGCGGATCTCGTCCACAAATCCCCGCAGGCGTCGAGCTGTTTCAAACTTCTGCCAAGCTTTCTCTCCCTAAATGAAAAAAAATAACAGGAAAGAAAACATTCGTATTCCTGTTAAATAATGGAGGAGGTTGTCAACTCTCCCTGCCCCAAACCTCGTGCTTCTCCACTCGATGGTGGAGTGGTCAGGGGCTGGGGCAGCAAATCCAGCTGGGTGATGCTGGCAGTGAGCACCCATGTCCACTCCTGTCTTTGGGGCTTGTGGCTGCTGGCACAGCATGACCTCAGCGCAGGCTGGCCGACTCCCAGCCCATCTCAGAAGCCTCTGCCGGTGCCCGGCTTACACACCTCCCTGCCAGCGTCCTAAGGGAGACCTCCCGGGGAGGAAACACCCTGCCAAGCCCTGCGCTCACCTTCAGCTTCGAGCAAGGGTTCAGCATGATGTACTTGACGGAGTTCTGAATGCTCTCGGTCCACGCTGCCAGCCACATGACAGTGTTATCGGAGCGCACCTCCTTCCACTGGTGCCCCGCCGGCGGCTCGGGGATCTTCGAGTCCCTGCAGCAGAACAATGACACAAACATAACTTGGAGACCTTATTCTCTGGAATGCAAGCAAAAGGAGCTGCTCTAGTCAACCACCCCACTTGGTGGCCATGGTAGTGGCATGGCTCCTGACCGAGTCTGGCATCAGAGGTGGCCTGCCTGGCGGCTCAGACAAAAGCAGCCGCTCAATCTGCCCTCTGCACACACAGGAAGGCCACGGTGCACCAGGAGGCTAGGCGGCCACCCAAGCAAGGGATCGCTCTGTTCGAACCTCTCAGCACCAACTGGGACGAAGAGTGCCCTGCTCCACACAGCACAGCCTGGCCATTGGAGGTCCTGCAGGCAGGGTCCCTACTCCACACTGCGGTCACACGGTACAACACGCGGCCCAGCAGTCCCCTCCCCACCACTTGGAATGTCCCTCCAACAAGTTCAAAACACCTAATGCTACTGGGCTGTCCAGATGGTGTGGGATATGAAAACCACACGGGGGTGTCCTTGGCGAGAGAAAGTCTCAGCCACAGCAAGGCGAGGACTTCTGACCCCGTGGTAAGCACCCTGGGAGGGCCGCCCTTGCCCGGCCACACCCGCAGGCTGAGCTCCACAGGAATGGTTTCTCGGTGTGCCTCCCTCTCCCAGTAGGTGAAAAGCCAGACTCATCCAGGTGGCAGGGATCCAGCACCTGCCTGCTGCCCGCCCGGCCACGCACCTGCTGCAGTTGATGACCACATCCTCCGGCATGACCCTCCTCTTCAACATCCCCATCTTGGGATGGTCGCCACGGCCACGGAACAAGCCAGGCGGCTCAGTCTTGAAATTGCCTATTTTTTCTCGGTGACCATCTAAAATACAGTAGCCGAACTCTTGCTGAAGTTTTTCTGCCTCTTCCTTTAGCTTCTGAGTTAATAAAACAGTCAGTAGACATTAGCAGTGAGGAGAAGAAGACAGGCCTCAGTCCCTTGTTGCTCACCCGGGACCACCCTGCTCTGACTAACTCGGCTGGGCCCTCAAAGCCCTTCATAATCCATGGAGGTCGCAGGGGCAAGGGACAGTGCAGGTGGGCACACAGGGGGCACCAGGAGCCACGGCCCAACCACCCCATGGTCTGGACGCCCCGGCCCCTGCGCAGGCTTCAGCTGTTTTAGGCCTCAGCAGTAAAGCCAGGTGGAGGGAGCGTGGCTGCCCGCCATGGAGGACGAGGGCTAAGGGAATCCCTGAGAAGGCCACGTGGAGATCACCACACGGCAGGTTCCTGTTAGATGTAGGGAGACGCATGGCACAGAACAGCGAGAAGCCGACTGGCCTGCACAAGCCCCGCCCTCAGCCCACAACCCGTCTGGGAACCCACCCTTTATCAATGATGGTAAATTACTCATCCATTTCAAACTGGGTTTACTCTCACACGTGCTCTGGGGAAGCGGAACGACACTTCAGCACACACAGGGGCGCGAAGGCTGCCGAGCCAAGAGCAGCTTTGTGAGAAGGGGCTTCTCTAAGGCCACAGGCCTTTCTCAGCCTTTGGGCCAGGCTGGCCTCTCATTCCCAGGGGCCACTTCGGGTCACACAACGCTCGAGTCAGCCCAACCTGCTTCTCCTCCCTGGTCAGGACTTTCCGGGCTGCGGCCTTGTCCACAAAGTATCTATGGATCTCCGTGAAGTCACACTTGTCCAGGCTCTTGATGACTTCCCTCTCTTCCACTGTCATTTCCTGCACAAACCACAGACACGCACTCACCATGTCTTACAGAGGCGTGCGTGCGACGGGCAGAACCTGTGCAGTCCTGCGGTATCGTGAACAGAGCCCCTCCCTGCAGACCCCACAGTTAGAGCTGGGTCTGTTGTTGCAGGGGTGGAGTGGGTGGAGCAGCCGAGGGCACAGTTCTCCAAAAGCAACTTCACAACAAGTCAGGAGTAAAACTGGCTAAAACCTGACTCAGTAATTCCACTTTGAGATCCATCCTAAATAAACTCTCCAGTATGAAAACGAGGATGACGATGGCACTAAGGGCAACAGCAGAAACGCCATGACCGGACAGAGCGGGATAAATGATGGGGAGCTCATTTGGTGAACATGATGGGATTCAGGAGGCCAAAGTCTCAGTCCACATGTGCTGCTGCAACGAAATCCCGGGGACGAGTCAGTGATAAACCACAGTCACAGCTCTGGGGGCTGGAAGGCCGGGATCAGGGCCCCGGCATTTGACGTCTGTGGAGGACCCAGTCCCTGCTTCTGAGAGGGTGCCCTGAAGGCTGTCCTCATGCAGTGGAGGGGGGACAGAAGGACAGAAGGGGCCCAGCTAATTCCACCCAGCCCTGCCCTAAGGCCCTAAATTAATCCTAAGGGCTGCAGCAAGGCAGTGACCTCACAGCCCAATCAGCTCCTGAAGGCCCTACTTCTGTCCTGTGGCGCTGGGGATTCAGTTTGAAGGTGAATTAGAAACCACAGCAGAAAACAGTTTGATGATGATCTACCCGTGTGGAGACTAAGCAGGATAAAATACCGAGTGGGGAAAACATTACGTGCACACTGATCACACTCACACGAAAACTACTGCCCAGGAGAAGCCAGGACACGGGAACAGGAGACGCTGACCTGAGGGAGAGCCGCAGGTCACAGGCAACTGTTTCTCCTCTCATTTCCTACACAACAAAAACTCTGTACAGCCCATGGCCAAAAGCCCAGGCTTGCGGGCACCAGCTCACGGTACCAGTCCAGGCTCGGCCACTCAGGCGTGTGAGACCTCAGGAGCTGCTGCTAAACCGTGTCTCACTGTAGGATGGGGACGACCCACCTCTGCCGAGGAGCTCAGGTGCGACACCATCTGTGCTGGACGGAGCCCTGCTCGGCCACAACCGCGGGCTCAGGGTCCGTCCCTGTGTCTCCCGGGGCCCTCGGATCGACCGCCCATTCCTGTTCCGCTGCCTTGCGACACTGCCTCCCTTCCTAGCTCTGCTAGTGACTAGAAGTGCTGACCGGGGCGGGGAGTGAGGACACCGGGCAGCTGGTGCCACCTCACCAAGCTGTGGTGACAGGCAGAGGGGTGGCATCAGGACAGAGGAAGAGGGTCCAGAAGCAGAGCCCACACAGGGCACAAGGAAGCACAGGCTCCAGCAGCTGGCTCGGGACAGTCAGACACCCACATGCAAAGCACGAGCCTCGGCCTCTACCCCACACAGTAACCAAAATTAACTCAGAGTTCCACCTAAACTAAGCCGACCTCAATGGAAACCTAAAACCAAGACTTCTAGGAAAAACATAGGAGGAAATCTTTGTGCTGCTGAATTAAGCATATTTCTTAGACAAAACAACAAAAGCACAACCTGTGACAAAACATGATACACGGGACCTAGTCAGTATTCCAAACTCCTGACCTTCCAAAGACATTGTTAAGAGAATGCAAATATAAACTACAAACACCATGAAAAAGTTTTGCAAATCCTATTTCTGATAATGGACTTAAAACAGGACACAAAAGTACTCACCATAAAAGAGGCTGATAAACTCAATAACTAAGTTAACATTTTCTGCTTGGAGACCTCACTGAGAAACGAAAAGGCAAAGTCTGGGAGATGATATCACAGCACGTGCAACTGGCAAAGAAGCTGTATCCAAAATGCATTTTCAGAACTCCGATAAATTAGCGAGGAATATGCAAGCAACTCAATTTTTTAAACAGACAAAAGTTCACAAACGAAAATACTGAAATGACACATCGGTACACCAAAAGATGCTTAATATCACTTCTCATTAGGGAAATGCAAACCATACCCACGGTGAGGTGTCACCTCGTGCCCACTAGAGAGGCGCCTCACACCCGTGCCAGGCGTGTGGACAGTTCAGCCTGGCGTTTCCAGTAAGCTGGACCACATGTAGCCCATGACCCAACAACTTCACCCCTAAGTCCTGTGGGAATGTTCATGGCAGCTTTACACATGCAAAGGCCAAAAACAGGAATTAATCAAACCCCCATGAACAGGGAAATGGACTAGCACGAGTCACACGACGCAGGAAACGGGACCTGGCCAGAGCCAGGCAGAAGCCGTGGGACAGCAAGTCAGGGGCGAGTCTTGCAGGTGTGGTGCCGACAGAAACCCCCAGGGCACAAAGCCCACGGCACACACATGAAACCAGTCAGGCCATGGGCGAAGGGCAGTCACCCTGAAAATGAGCAAGGAAAAAACCTTGAGGGAGCACCCTCCCCACCAAAGAGCTTCTCACCAAACCTGTCTTCCCGGGGGCTGGGAAATGGCAGTGGCCTCCTCCACTCTCCCTCTTATATGCCAGACCCCTGTCCTTTCAGCAGTCCATGGAGTCAGGCTACCACCAATCCGGCTACACACCCACGGCCTGCCTGAGAAGGGAAAGGTCTGCGGGGCACTAGGCCGGGCACACTGGCACCGCCTATGGTCCCAGCTACTCAGGAGGCCAAGACAGGAGGATGGCTTGAGCCCAGGAGCTCGAAGCGAGTGGCCACGCAGCGGCCACCGGGAACTTGCAAGGGGCGTCCAGAGGCAGCACTGCAGAACTGCAGGGGCCTGGCCAGCCAGGTCCAGGACAGCTGTGGCGGCCGCCCAGGGTACTCACCTTTCGCCAGTCATTAAAGAAGTTCTTCCGGAAAACCTCCTTTGTTGTGTATTCATGATCCAACATCCTCCCATAAAAAGTGGCAACCTCCTCCGCTTTCATGCTCAATCTCATGGGCTTTCCTGCAGGCATCAAAAGACACATCACATGAGAGAGTGGCCACAGGCTTGGCCTCCAGCTGACATGACTTCATTGCTTTAAACTACGCTTTCGTGCGTACTATACCAAGAGCAAGAAGCTAGGCCTTATTCTGTAAGTTCAGCAGCATGTTCTACATGACAAACGACAATGACCCTGCGTGGAGGTGACGACCACAGTGATCTTGGAGTGGGTGGTGAAAATGCTGCAGATTTCAGGTGCTACTGATTTCTTCTCCTTTAGCACTTTACTTTGCTACTACATTTATATTACATGAAAATGGAACATGTACAATTTTAAAACACACCAACCTCTACAAAATTACGGAAGCAAAATAAAAGTTAATGCTTCAAAGCAGAAAACTGAATAACTGTAAGTGTAACCTTGTAAAACTCTGCCAGCCTCTGTCCCACCATTCCCTGCGTTTTCTTCTAAGATCGGTATGGTTTAGAGATGCAGGGGGTGAGCTGGGGCCAGGCGAGCAGAGCGAGAGGCTCCTGGTGGGAATGAGGGTGTTCACCAGGAATTCTTCCAACTGCGTGTCTGAAGTTTTCATAAGAAAATTTTAGAGAAATAAAGGCATAATCATTTGGTAACAAGGAAGAGAAGGTATTCCTGATAACTAGCCTCTCAGGACAGAGGACGAGAGGCCCAGAGGCCAGCAGCACAGGCCCGAGGGGCTCAGTTCCCGCTGCCCCTCTGTGGAGGCTCGGCCCCACTGGGCCCCACGTGACACCACTGCTCCCCGGACTGCCTGCCATGGCCCTGCACAGGTAGTCCTCATCCGCCACGTCCCTCCTGGCCAGGGAGGTCCTGCAGGGCCGCTGTGGGGCGGGCGAGGCGGCTGCTACACTGCGCCAGGGGCACAGCGTGAGACGCTCAGTAAGGCCCCATGGCCTCCCGTGGGCAGCCCCCACAGACACAGCTAGAACCTCTGTCCCTGTGGAATCTCCAGTCCAGCTTCGGAGAAACAGGCTTTGAACAAAAAATTGCATCAAAGGAGCTCAGCAAACTCAGGTGTGCATGTGACCCAGCAGGGGGCCCACAGGAGGGCCCACCCCCCCCCCCCGCCCTTGAGCCCTGCTGACCCAGAGCCCCCGGGGTCCTGCCTCTGAGGGTGGCTCAGCGCTCATGTGGATCACAAGCTCCGCTTCTTGCTGAGAATCACAAGCTGGGATCAAGTGACCGTTCTGTGATCCACGTGTGTACACGCAGTGTGCATACTGTGTATACTCAGAACACACAGGGAACACAGTGGTGCAGGGGAGGGGGGAGGGGGGGGGGAGGCAGGGTGGGCCTTGCCCAGCGGGTCCTGGACACAACAGGCACAGCCAGTGCAGGCTCAGCAGGAAAGGCGGGGACAGGAGCCCCTGAGCTGCTGCCCTCCTGAGCTGCTACCCCTGAGCACAGGTCAGTCGGTCAGCAGCCCCCGCATCACCTGCAAGAAGAGGGCACAGAGTGCTCATAGCCAGAAGCCTGCAGCGGGGCTGAGGGAGCGAGCCGGATGCCCATTGGGAGCCCACGCCCAGGGAGCCAAGCACAGGCCGGGGAGGAGCCGCTCTCTGCGTCCTCACCGTCATAGAAGAAACACACTCCATCGGGAAGGGGCTCGTATGGGGGTGGGAAGTACGGGCCCTTGTGCTCCAGCTGTCTCCACTTCACCCCGTCTTCGCGCTTCTCCTCCTCCCACCTAAAGATGGAGACAGGACGTGTCACTCTCCTGGGCCAGGCCCAGTGTGAGCCTCTTCCCCCCTCCCATGGTGGCTCCTCCCTGTGGCTCCCAGCAGGTGGGCCGTGTGGCCTCCACCTCCCGGGGGAGGAAAACAAGGCCTGCAGAGGGAGGCAACCCCCTGGACCTCAGCCCCGTGCCTGTGCACCCGCCCATGCCCCTACCCTCCGACAGCAGCTGAGTCACGGATCCCGCCAAGCCCGGCTAAGCGGGAAAGGGAAAGGCAACGTGCCTCTCCCAGGCTCTAGGGCCTCTCCCCAGATGGGTCCCTTCAGAGTCGGTCTAGAATCCTCCGGAACCTCTCCATGGGACTGTTTCATTTGCTAAATAAAGGACCTGGCTGCTTAAAGGACAGCCCTGCCTCCCAGGAGCTGGGTAGAGGGGGGCCAGCAGTGCAGCCAGTGGAGAGGCACCGCAGCAGGGCGCAGGACCGCCACCCACAGAGGATCAGGCAGGGTGGAGGAAGCCGGGCAGGGTGGAGGAGGCCAGGCAGGGAGGGGAGGCCCTGAAGCCAGAAGCCTCAGGGGTTTTCAGGGAAGGGTTCCTGTTGGGCATGGGGGAGGGCCTGCAACGCACTAACACAATGAGGCTCCACAGGGCTCCCTGCCAAGGTCCCCCTCCCCAGGGCATCCCCTCCTGGCAAGCCCAGCTCTGGAGGTTGGGGGCGGAGGGCGGGGACACAGCCAGCGTGGTGGCTACAGCCCATCCTAACTCTCCAGGCCAGTTGAGGCTCCAGCCAAGCCCAAGCCCGCCCTGAGCCAGCGCTGCCCCGTAGAAAGGGCTCAACTGAACCCAGACACTGAGATGGGCCTGGGAAGAGAGGAGCGAGACGGGGCATGGCTGGCGGGCAGTGGGCAGCCTCACTCAGCAGGGCTGAGGAAAGAGCGAGCCCAGCACCTAGGATGGCCAGTGCAAGGCCTCAGTGGGAGAGGCTTTGGCAGGAGGGTGGGAGCGCCATCAGGATGGGGAGAGTGAGATGGACAAACCTTCTGAGCCTCCCCCAGACGCACAAGGACAGAAGGTTCCAGATCACACTCCCCCTGCCAGAGCCAGGAGACCCGCACGTGACCCCAGCCAGGTAGTGCTGTCAGGGGCCTGGTGGGCCTGTTCAGCTGGGATGAGTGTCCTCAGAGCAACAGGAAGTCTCTGAAGGGTCTGAGAGAAGAAAGCATGTGCCACTGACATTTCTGAAAGGGCCTTTCCGGCAGAGGAGGGAATGGGCAGGGTTAGAAGAGCCAGAGGCAAAGGTGATAAAGTAGGGAGAAGTTAACTGGCTCAAGAACTTTCCAGGGTGGAGCCAGGCACGGTGGCTCACGCCTGTAATCCCAGCACTTTGGGAGGCTGAGGCAGGCTCAGGAGCCCAAGGCCAGCCTGGCCAACATGGTGAAAGTACAAAAAGCTAGCTGGCAGACACTGCAGGCAGCTGGAGTCTGGGGGGAGAGTCGGGGGAAGGGGGGTTCTGCTGACTCTGCAGAGCTTTTCCACGTCAGGTGAGACCAGTCTCACCTTTCTTACAGGTTTTAGGAGTTCAAGAGAGCCCAGTAGCCCTAATACAGCATGTCTAGGGTGGGGCGAGAGATCGCTAAGTACCCTGAAGAATGAAACCTAGACCTCGCCCTCTTAACCTAGACAACGCCTTCTTAGAGAATCAGGGTGTGAGAAAATGTGAAACCACAGGTATCTCAGAACTGACTGATAGGAGCCGGGTGCGGTGGCTCAAGCCTGTGATCCCAGCACTTTGGGAGGCTGAGGTTGGTGGATCACTTGAGGCTAGGAGTTTGAGATCTGCATGGCTAACATGGCGAAACCCCATCTCTACTAAAAATACAAAAATTAGCTAGGTGTGGTGGCTGGCGCCTGTAATCCTAGCTACTCAGGAGGCTGAGGCAGGAGAATCACTTGAACCCAGGAGGCAGAGGTTGCAGTGAGCTGAAATTGCACCACTGCACTCCAGCCTGGGTGACAGGGCAAGTCTCAAGAAATAATAATAATAAAAAAATTAAAGAACTGACTGACAGTAACACAAAGCCTCTAGGATAATCACACCATCAGTCTCATTTCACAGATGAAGACACTGAGTTGAAACAACTTGCAGGCCAGCAGCCAGGCAGGGCTGCAGTGCTGGGTGTGCGCTCAAGCCCAACTGAGCGTTGCACGTTGTGCACGCTGTAGTGACATTCTTTCACCCCTGCAGAGACCCGGGTACCAAGCACCACCATCAGACGCAAGCTGGCTTTCAAAGGGAGACCTTGCTCCAAACCCACCTTTCCACCTGGGCGACTGCAGCCCAGCAGCACTTTTTGGAAAGCACCTACCTGCCTGTGCACCCTCGGAGAGATGCGCCTCAGTGCAGGACCCAGAGCCAGCCCCAGCTCCAGGGCAGGCCAGAACTCCCTCCTCCCAAGACGCCCTCCCCCATCTGGGCTCTCTTGGGTCCCAAGATCCTGGAGGCAGAGAGGACATTTCTGCGGCATGGCCTTGGGCAGCTGTGCAGGCCCTCAGCTGTGAATGGATATGGTGATAGCGCACCACCAGGCCACAGAGACACACCACGCTGGAAGCACCAAGTGAATGACGGCAAACCGACTGGGGAAACTCCTGCAGGATCTCCACGCACCAGTGAGGCCAGGCTGTCAACTCTCCAGCTCTTCCGAAACCTCCAGCATTTCGTGCGCAGAGACCCAACCCCATGCGGCTACCCCAGGCCCAGTATGCGCCGGCAGGGCTTCTCCCATGTCCCCCAGGAAAGCGCCTGGGACCACGAACGGCCACCAGGGCCACTGGATCCATGCGGCGTGTGCCTGGTGATGTAGATACCACAGTGAGTGCCAGCGGTCATGCAGAATCGTCCTGGAGACAACCCGGGAACCGACTCCAGGAAAGGGCGGGTCTCAGAAGACCAGGCACAGCAACAGAAGCTTTTTATAAAGTACCTAACCAAACCCTACAGTGTTGAGGCCCAGGCACAGCTACACAAATGATGAAACCTCAAGCCAAAAAAAGGGGGGAGATTTCCCCAAACAGGGTTGGTGGGGTGGTGCCTGGGGAAGGAGGGGTGACGTCACGGGGGGCCTATACACCCCGGGCAAGAGGCGGGCCGGTCACACCGCGGCACTCATGCTCTCCCGCCCGACTTTTGGGAAAGCGGGAAGCAGGGCAAGGCCGTCCCACGAGGCCTGTCACTCCCCTTTCTGGACCTAACCCAGCCCGGTGCTCAGGGCCCTTGCCGCCTGCTCAATGGGCCGCCTTACCTGGTTCCACTGCCCTTCTGCGTCCTGCGCGAGCCCGGGACGCCCCGGGAGGCCGGGCGGCGGGGGACCTCCCCGAGCAGCGTCAGAGCCGCCCGGAGCCGCAGCAGCCGCACCACGCGCATCTGCCGGCCTCCGGGAAAGAGCGACAAGCTGGGCCCCGCCCCAGCGGCCCGCCCCGCTCCGCCCCCAGCGGCCAGCCCCGCCCCCAGCGGCGCTCATTCCGAGGCTGTGCGGTCTAAGCCTGCACCGGGCTGCGGCAGCGGGGCCACCGACTGTCCTGCCGGCCTCCCCCTGGTTTCCCTGCCTTCGTGGTCCAGCGCCCTTTCACGCTGGGGCGGGGCCCTAGATCCAAACCCAGTCCCACTGACCTCTGCAGCACAGGGCTGGCTGTCAGGGTGCCCCACAGGTCACAGGACCAGGCCAGTGAGCTCCTGCCCAGGGCCGGCACACAGCTCTCTCCCGGAGCCTCCGAGGGCAGGGGCACCTGGCAGGTCCTTCCTAAGCACATGCTCCGCTGCTCGGGAGAAGGGACCTCACAGGCTCCGATGGCCCCCTACCTCATCCCCTACAAACAGCAGCACTTCCAGGACGCAGAAACCGGCAGAAGCGCCTGCTATCCAGCCCACAGCAGCCCCTCAGAGGTGGTGCCTCTGGACAAAGGTCACTGGAAGTCCTGCGAAATCATCACTGCCAACCAGCCTCTCACTCCCAAGGAGACCAGAGACCAGGCACAGCTAGAGCTTCCCTCCTGCACTCAGTCCTCAGCATGACCCCTGACCCTGGCCAGGGTTTAACCCCCGTGTCTTCACTGGGGAGCATGGCCAAGGGGAAAACCTCTAGACCAGCACTTGGCAGCGGGCCCTGAGCCACAACAGGCCACCCTGCTCACCTCCAGCAGCACTACAGCCTTGTTCTTCCCGGTAAAACCCGGACACCAGGACCGTGGGAAGCCGATGAATTCACACGCATCCCGCACTTTCGCTGTGACCGTTGGGAATGCAGTGGACACAGGCAGGAAAGGAGCCCGGGCTGCCACTGCACACCCCCAGCGACCCTCCCCTGCCACCAGCTGACTCAGTGTCCATGTCATCTAGCTGCTGGAAGCCACGGGCAGAGGCCGAGGGCTGCACTCGCTGGCTCTCAGGGCCCAGGCAGACCTGGTAGGCGTCCCATCATTTCAGAATGAGCAGCTCAGCAGCTGAAGGTACACACACACCAGGACACAGCAGCTGACTCTCCGGGTGGGCCACCTCCTCCCAGGGGCTGCGGAACAGCGACGCATTATTTTTTCCGACAACCCTTTCTACAAACCAGAACAGGGCCTTAGCCCAGGCCCACCATTCCTTCAACAAAATCCTGAAGTCAGTGTGTTTTCCACTTCAGGTTTCTAAGGGTTTTTGGTTTATTGTTTTTTACTTTTTGTGGAGATGGGGTCTCCCTATGTTGCCCCGGCTGGTCTTGAACTCTTGGGCTCAAGTACCTTGGCCTCCCAAAGCACTGTGATTTCAGGTGTGAGCCACCATGCCCAGTTGATTCCTCAGGTTTTGTAAGAGGGAGTGTGGCAGGACAAAAACCCTAAGATTTCTCAATAGATACAGAAAAAGTACCAGACAAATCCAGCACCATTTCATGATAAACAGAATGGAAAACCCACTCAAGAACAGAACAGAAGGAAACTTAACCTGAAAAGCGGCATCTACAAAGCCCCACAGCTAACCTCATATGCAAGAAGAAAGACTGGACGCTCCCCCTGAAATCAAGAATAAGACGAGGATGTCCACTCTCACCACTGCCACTCAACACGGTGCCAGAGGCTCTCACCGAGCAAACAGGCGAGCAGATGAAATAAGACACCCAGATCAGAAAGAGAGAAGTAAATTATCTCTATTCGCAGGTGTCATAATCTTGTATATAGAAAATCCCACAGAATCCCCAAAAATTGGCTGAGCACCGTAGCTCATGCCTGTAATCCAAGCACTTTGGGAGGTCGAAGCAAGTGGATCACTTGAGTCCAGGAGTTCAACACCAGCCTGGGCAACATAGTGAGACCCTATCTCTATAGAAAATAAAATTTTAAAAAAGAATCCACAAAAATTATTAGAGCTAATAGACGAATTCAGCACAATTGTAGGGTACAAGATCAATATGAAACATCAGTTGTATTTCTAACCAGTAGCCATGCGCAAACTGAAAATGAAATTAAGAAAATAATTTACAATAGCATCAAAAAATAAAATATTGCACAATAAATTTAACAAAGGAATTATCAAGCTTATACTCTGAAAACCGTAAAACATCGGCCAAAGAAATTAAAGACAGCCTAAATAAATGAGCAGCCATCCCATGTTCATGGACCAGATGATTTCATAAGGTTAAGACAGCAATACTTGCCGAATAGATCCAAAAACTCAACACAATCCCCATCAAAATTCCTGAAAACTCAATGCAATCCCCATCAAAATTCCAGCTGGCGTTTTTGCGGAAATGGACAACCTGATCCTAAAATTCACACGGAAATACAAGGGACCCAGAATAGCCAAAACAGTATTTGAAAAAGAACAGCAAAGTTGCTGATCTCAAAACTTCAAAACTGGCCTGGGCAACACAGCAAGACCCCATCTGTACTAAAGATTTTTAAATTAGCCAGGCATGATGGTGTGTGCCTGTAGAAAGGGAGGAGACCACCTCTCATATTGTCTTCTGCCTAATTTTTGCCTCAAAGAGAAGAAAAAGTAGGAGTTAAAGAAAAGGCAGAAGTGAAATTCAATAGTCAGCCTGGCGCCACACCCCAGGCCTGGTAGTTAAAGATCCACCCCTGACCTAATCACTTAGTTTTCTATCGATTCCAGACACTGTATGAGGAAGCACCGTGTAACTCTGTTTGGTTCTGTTTTGACCACCAGTGCATGCAGCCCCACTCACGCAGCCCCGGCTTGCACAGCGTATCACGGCCCTTTCATGTGGACACCTTAGAGTTGTAAGCCCTTAAAAGGCACAGGAATCTTGACTTTGGGGAGCTCAGATCTTAAGACACGATTCTACCGATGTTCCCAGCTGATTAAAGCCTCTTCCATCCTAAAACTGGTGTCCGAGAGGTTTTGTCTGCGACCTGTCCTGCTACAGTAGTCCCAGCTACTCGGGGGCTGAGCGGGAGGATTGCTTGAACCCAAGAGGTCAAGACTGCCGTGAGCTATGATCAGGCTACTGCATTCCAGCCTGAACAACAGGCTCCATCTCTTGAAACAAATGTTTTTTGGCCGGGCTTGGTGGTTCATGCCTGTAATCTCAGCACTTTGGGAGGCCGAGGCGGGCGGATCACCTGAGGTCGGGAGTTCAGGACCAGCCTGACCAACATGGAGAAACCCCGTCTCTACTAAAAATTCAAAATTAGCCAGGCATGGTGGCATGTGTCTGTAATCCCAGCTACTTGGGAGGCTGAAGCAGGAGAATCACTTGAACCCGGGAGGCGGAGGTTGTGGTGAGCTGAGATTGCACCATTGCACTCCAGCCTGGGCAACAGAGTGAGACTCTGTCTCTCTCTATATATATATATAAAATAATATGTAATATATATATTATTTTTAAAAAGGGGGATAATCTAAACAGATGTTTCTCCAAAGATGAGATACAAAAGGCCAACCACCCTGTAAAAAGATGCTCAAAATCGTCAGCCATGGGAGAAATGAAAATCCAGTCCACAACGAGGCCACCTCGCACCTGGGTGGCTGCAGTCAACACGCTGGGGAAGGCGCGGAAAGTGGCACCCACTGCACAAGGCCAGAGACACAGCTGGGGAGTGTAGACCTGCAGACCAGGAAGGGTTTCTATGAACTGTCTGCCAATATTCCTGGGGTTGGTGGCCCCCTCCCCTTGTGCCCTCTTCCTCCCCAGGCCACTCAGGGGCTGCCCAAGGGAGCGGAGGCGGCGCTTCACCACTCTTCCTCACAGCAAGTAGGAGGACCCCTGTTTTGCATGAGAGAAACTAGGCTTAGAAAATTTAAAGAATTTTCCCAGAATCAAACAGGTGCTAAATGCAGGAGCCAGATACCCACAAAGACCTTTCCCACCCGGAAGCCCGAAGCCCGAGCTCCAAGGCTATGCAGGGACTGCCCAGGTGGGAAGCAGCGCCGCCCAGCAGACACAGCTGCAAGCAGCAGCGAGGTTTACCCCATCCAGAAGCCACACCGCAAAAGAAAGTGACTTTGACCTTAATGATATACTTAATTCCAACTATTTCACCCAAAATACTGTCAACATAATATGCTAATGAGAGAGTACGCATCGCTCTTCTCAGAGCAGGTGTGTGGTCACATCCCCAGCACGTCTCCACTGGGAGAGCTGCCCGGCTCGTGGCTGCATACAGGACAGAGCAGGGGTGACGGCTACAACGCAGTGTGGCCCACTTGTGGCTGTGTGACCTTGGGCCGGTTACTTAACCTTTTTTTTTTTTTGAATAGCAAATAGTTTATTAGTACATGGTTTCAACGGGAGCAATAAATTCACATATAAAGGAGACAATAATCAAGTCAAAAGAATAAATGCTTACTAATCATCAGAAAATCTGTGGCCATTAGGGCTGGCACATAAAAATCCAAAATCACTCAGAGGCCAAATCTTAAAGAAGATTCATCCTCTTATTAGTCCATATGGAATAGGTCCATAGTATCTAGAATCTGTGGAATTCTGTAGATTATCACCTTCTAACCAAACATGACCCACTGGCACCATAGGTCTGTTCTATAATTCATTCAATTTTTAGGGAAGTCACAGGGCTTCCAGGAAAAAAAAAATTAAAGCATGTCAGAGGAGGAGGGAAGGTTCACCTTCCCCACCCAGCAACGACTGCTCTCTATGGGCCTAACAGATGCTTTTAACTGAGCTTTGGGAAACGGCTTCTTGATCTCAGCCTTTGTGGCCTCTGTCAAGAGCAGAAACCAAGGGCCGTGAACAAAGGGGTCCGGGGTGAGCTTGGGGCTGCTCCCAACTCCGGAGCAGGTGCAGGCCACACCAGACCACGCTGCCAGCGTCCACCCTGGCCCAGGCACAAAACACCAGAAAGGGAAGGTCACAGAGCCACTACGGAAGGTCCTGACCCCACTGCCCCATCCACTGCTAACTTCTTCTTCTTTTTCTTTCTTCTTCTTCCTCCTCCTC